TTTCATGTGTGTGGTTTTCTGTCTGACAGGAGCGAAGGCCTTTTCTTGCATCAGAGTGTAATGAGCTGCCCAAAGCTGAGAAATGGAGGAGACAGGTAATGTCAACCTGTGGATTTTCTAATTCTGTAGGAGGTAGAACTTTACACTTCCTGTTTAGACAGCCTGCTTACAACGGTTTTCCACACTTGTCCCTGACAGTTAAATCACAGAACATTTTTTAAGATAAGCTCAGTCTTCAAAGTAGCTCCTACCATGTCAGGTTGCCCCAGGGCCATGTCCAGCTGAGTCTTTAACATCTTCAGGGATTTAGATTCCAGGTTTTTGGGGCTGCTGTTCCAGTGTTTGATTATCTTCCTAATGATTTATCTCCCCTTGAATTTAATCAGAATTACGCCTTCTGTTTTATTGTTACTTGTCCTATTGCCATGCACTTCTCAGACCATCTGGCTCTGTCTTCTCTGTTCCTTCTACTGATCTAGAAGTGAATTTCTGTGTTCTTATTTGACTAGATCATTGGGGAGATTTCCAAGAAAGTGGCACAGATCCAAAATGGTAAGATTTTTCTAACTGTTTTATTTTTTTGAATATCCAATCATAAGCAGTTACAGTAAAAATCCCATTTCATGTGAACTATTCTGTTTCTATTGCATAAATTCTGAAATTTATGCAAATTCTCTGGTGTTTCTGTGAGCTGCCTGATTTATTGGGGTTTTTTTCTCTCTAACAGCTGGATTGGGTGAATTCAGAATTCGGGACCTGAACGATGAAATAAACAAACTTCTGAGGGAGAAAGGACATTGGGAGTACAGAATAAAGGAGCTGGGAGGTCCTGATTATGCTGTAAGTGTGGAATGTGTTGTACTGCAAGGTTGTTCTGCTTAGAAGTGAAGTGACTGCTGAGAAAAATATGTAACATTTAGTTACCCATCAGTGGCTTGGCCAGTGTTAATTTTATGCAGCCCCTAAAATGTTTCTAAATGTGTTAGGAGAAAGTTTTAAACTGTGAACTCTGTTTATCTTTCAGAGGATTGGCCCAAAAATGTTAG